TTGAAGAAACCGTATCGAATCAACACCAAAAGAGAAGTAAATTGAGGAGACAACCTCTCCTTGGAACTCCTCTTAACCGTCTAAACATCGGTTCATCCATCTGCTGTATGCAGAACGACGCCATCATCTTCGTCAAATACAGGGCGGAACTCCAGATAACGATTGTGCAGTTGCAGAAGGAGTCATGCGCCACTGGCATGGAAACGAATATCTCCAAGACGAAATGGATGCATAACGGGAAGTGCTCAGCGGGTACCATCTTGCATGATAGCAAAAAAGTGGAAAAAATCACCAGCTACGGCAACCTAATAGGTCATAATAACATCAACGGTGAGATCAACAAGATAAGGCAGCATGGACAAGTTTCAATCCATCAAAATATCCCAGCATCATAACGAACTGCCCATATCCACGAAAAAAGAGCATTTCTTCTCCACTGCCTCACTCGCCGAGACTTTTGGCAAGAAGTGTTGATCTACCACTAATGCTGAGTAAAGGAACTAATGATAATGGATATGCAAAGAATATAGAGGTCTCCTTTCGAGGCTTTGTTTCAAATTGGTAGAATTCGAGATAGGACGCGACTTCTTGATGCGTTCACTGCTGCCAGCAACTCGAAGAGACGATGGACTGGCCATGTGGCACTTCTGAAGGGTAACAGGTGGACAGTACGAGTTACCAACTGGATTTACCTCGATCGATCATCAACGCGCTACCATGACCCAATGAGGAACTGTCTGGTCAACGGTGGAAACAAAAGCATAACACTGCAAGGGGTAGTGGAACGTGGACGAGTCTGCTGCGCAGCCGCTGACAAAAAACAAGACGGGTAGAAGGACAGGAGGCATATCGATTGTTAAATAAGGCAATAACCTTTCAAACCCAGATTTCGGGTTCATATAATGTTAGTATAAAATAACACACAGACTAACGTGACGAACAGACGTTGTATATTTCCCTTAATAAGCTAAAACTTCTAGCAACAGCATAACGATATCACTTTTAAAAATTGTGAGAATGAGAACGCCGTTCTGCTTGATGAGGTATATATTGACACCAGCGATCCGCTGCACTTTTGGTCACCATCCAGAGAGAGCCAAATAACGTACATTTAATATCCTATTAACGGCATATTCCTAAGAACAGGATGACGCGTCATATCGCTCAAGTTGCCGACTCAATCTAACGAGGGCGAAGAAGACTATGCAAAAAAGTTTGTGACTGTTAACATGAGTAAAGTCATATTTGCCTGAGGTGCACAGATAAAGACTTACTGTGATCTGTTCCTCCAACTTTTTCAATTCGCCCTTGCACATATCGACTGCCTGAGGCGAGTTGCCAAGGTGGCTTTTCATCTCCATTAATTGTCGTTGCAAGTGCGATATCGTCTTCTCGATCTGAGTAGCTCTGTTTAGTATGAGCTGAGAGGACCCGTACTTTAACTTACTTCTGTCAGTTGTTTCTCGAATTCCTTTACCTTCTTCGTCTCCTCGAGAACAGTACTTTTAGTAGAAACGAACTCATGCCACTTTGCGGACCGTTTGGCAATTATCTGCGGTATCTTCTCGCACTCTCGCCTGATTTCGGAGGTGAAACTCTGAAGACACATGATCAGCAACTAAGTTCTATCTTACGTCTAGAAACCTCGCTAGCCGATTTCATGATGATCTCCTGCCCCTCGTTTTCCACGAACCGCAGCAACTCAGAAATCGCCTTGGTGTTGGCACTCTGCTCCTGAATGATGGACTCGATTTCCTCTGCCGAATACGACGTCGGTTCGAATTTCAGTCGGTCGCTCACTTGATCAATCAATTCGTCGATCTGCAATTCACAAACTTTAGTCTGTACCTTGTGTTTGTTGTACCCCACGTTCGACTTACGCGTTGCAGGTTGCGGAAGAACGTCACCGTCATCGTGCTCAGGATTTCGTAATCGGTTGTGCACTTTTGCAATCGCTGGCTACTGCGCACCAGTTCGTCGACCAAGCTATCCTTCTGTCCCTGGGTGTCACCCTTGACTCCTACTTTTTCAATTTGTCTCAGTCTTGCGGTAGCCTCTTCTTGCGCAGACTTCATCTTCGGAAGTATTTGTTTTAGTAACTGTTGTTGACTTTCAACCACCATCGCCGGAGAGTCTTCAAAGTGCGTAAAAGCCAAAGAAGCGTCTCGCTGCAGCTCTGAGACGTAATGAATGAACTAGAAAAAATATCCTTGTTGTATCGAAGAAATATCGACGACGAAGATTACAATATGAAATTAAGTTACTGAAAAATTCGTTGTAGTATACAGTAGTTTCAGAGTTATCAAAAACGTCGTAAAGTTAGGAAGGTTTATGCTACTAAAACAACGGATAACCATCAAAGCACAAAATCACACGCAAAGGTAGGAAATACATCAAAAAACAACAGCCTACTGAACAGCACAACAGCAGGACTGCGAAGCGGTTCTCATATCGGAACCAGTCTTAGTCAAACAATGCCTATAGTGATTTCCACACTACGGCCAGACAACGTGATTCTGCGCCATAGTTCCAAGAAAGCAGCCATATCTGACATTGTCATTCCATTTCAGAATGGGCATAGCGTATTCCAAACCGCATGATAATGTAAAACCACACATAATAAACATCCGCAATGAAAACTAAAGGACCAGGGATACATGACAACTAAGGACACGGTCGGCATCAAGACCTTGGGATCGTGCCATAATGTAAATGAGCGAGTCTTCGACATGCTGCACTTACGATTAGATGCGTAAAACCGCGAATAGGGCTGTGCGCAAGCGATACACTAAACGCGTCCAGTAAGTTCATAGGAACTTCAGGAGTAGAAATTAATTTCCAGGTTTACAGAGGAAAAAACCGAAGATGAAGGAAAAGACTAAGAACCACAAAAAGAAATTTCGAACACTGAATACTCTGATCCTACCGATGACCTCCAAGAAGGAAGGTCTGAACGGCCTAAAAATATATATATATCTTTGTATCTTATTATTAT